GCAGTTCTAAAGTATTTTTCATATTCACGCTTCTTCATATAATATTTATACATCAATACGTAAATAGTAAAACAACTATAAATAAAATGATGTACAGACAATGGCTACCATTGCGAATTTGCAATACGAAAGCTAAACTTAATGAATTTATACCAGAAAAGTATCTAGATTTCGAAGTGAATCATTTACCAATGCCAACAACACAAACATGTAAATATATAGTTGGAGTTGCAACTGCTTTTGACTATCATATAATTTCAAAAGATCGTATATACCTGTAGGACAAAAAAAAACGTGGTAGACCAACATATCTAGTCTTGCGCTACTCTTTTGAAATATCTTATATATTTGTACTTTTTTGCATATAATGCCACATTTATATAGATTATAATTTACTATCGAACAGTTTGGGAATTCATATGACCGTTCTCTCTAGTCTTTTGAACTCGGAATTCTGAACCGTTCTCTTTTCAGCGTTTTCGATTCATAATTCTGATCACTTTGTAATCACTCCAAATTTGACTATAAACAGACAGCCGTTCTCTTTTTATCCCTAATTCCGTTCTCTAAAATTTTTATGATTGCAATTTATAAAATAAAAATAAAACAGTTTTTATTGTACGGATTTTCAAATGACATACGACGGCTTCTTTACTCTCTACTAGAATGTTTATGACTGATCTTTTTGATTTTACAGAGCCAACTTTAATCGATTCTAAAAAGGAAAAGATTAACATTTTGATCCAATTCGATCGTTAACAAACTCAACAAGAAAACAAAAGCAATTAAATGTGCTAAGGATTGTGGAAAAGTTATGGTATTGAATGAAAGTAGCTGAATGTTTTTCAATAAAAGAAATTTCATGATGATTATTCAAAATAACTATGCAATGATTACTGGGTTAAATTAAATGTATCAGTCAACTCCATGTGTTTTTCTACCGATTGTGTTGATACGAATAATGAGAAAGAGAATGGTAAGAGTGGTGAAAAGAAAGATTCAATGGCTACGGTTTAATTTTTAGCAGTTTTAAACATATCGTAAAAACGACCACTGACTGACGTTTTCTGTACAACAGTATAATTTTATTTAGTGTTGTTTCTCATATGTCTTAGGTTCAATAGATGTGTAAATAGTTGAATAATTAGTTTACATTTCCTGTAACGTTGATAGAATCTGTGGATTGTTGTGTTTTTGTTCTTCCAACCCGTTTTATTAAGCGAAATAGTAGAAGAAAATCCTTTTAATACATTATCTACAACGGATGTTCAGAATCTGTACACTTTGGCATTGAAAGCAAAATTGACAAATGTACTTTTACTTTAACTTCTCATTAAAAACACTGCGAGACACTATAAACCCTTTTAACTACGAACACAAAGTTACAGTGGAAGAGATACTATCGGTCAGGATGTATAATTTTTTTATCGTTATATTTTATTATTTCAAAATGCAAGTGTCAAGTTCTCTGTTCACTTGCTATTATTATTTAAACATTGGAATTTATCATTTTTTATGTTGCTTACAATGGGCGTTCTGCGTCCGATAGCACGATATGATTTACTTATGTTCTTCTCTTATTTATCAATAACAAAGTTTATACAAAAAAGAAAAAAGGGTCAATTTTAGAAGTATTTTCTTTCCTGTGAAGGAATTCGCGAGTACAGCAGTGTCTTGTAAGAAAATTTTCTTTACGGTTCATCGAACTCAAACTGAGTTTTTAGAAAAGGCTCTATATAGTATGCAAGTGCGGAAAACAGCAATAGAAGAAAAAATTCTGATGAACTTAATCGTAGCTTTTATGTTATTGATTCATATCAAGCTGGTATGCTCGAGAAAATTCAAATTTTTTTCTATCAGCTATGTAAAACAACAACAGAAACTTTGAGATCCTATTTAAATCGGTATTGCTACTTCTTATTGTGGTTCATTTCTCACCAGCCGTCAGTTTTTCCCATCAACGTTAAAGATGTAATGATTTACCCGTTGTTAGAAGTTACTTGTCAATAACAGCTGCAAAAACTGGCTGAAATTTGAAAAAAACGGAAAAAAGATTGGTATTCTTCAAAAAGATGCACTTTCATTAACTAAAAGAAATAGCGTATTATCCTAAACGCGACATCAACAGCATCTGAGATGTTTTTTCACGTCCTGCCCAACTGTATTTCATTCAGTAGAGTATAAAAGCTGAGCAAGATAACGTACTTTTTATACTTAGCAAAGTAGTTTTGAGGACGAAATAGTCTGTTACAAAATACAGTTTCGTGAAATTCCATATTTTTAAAGAAAAATCGATAAAAAAACACTGAAATTAACTGAATGTTGGCCAAACTGTGCAGTTTTTCATACTCAATTCTATCAGATCAAAACTGCAGCTTAATTTGCCACCGTTAAGGCGAAATTCAGATTTTAAAATGTTTTGACTTTTGCTAGAGCTGAAAACATTATCTGAAAAACATTTAGTTTTTCTCGCAAAAAAACTTCGGATTCGGTTAGAGGGTAGAATTTTACGTATTTGAGATGATTGTCAGGGTATTGTTTTAGAACGGATTTTTTTCCTTGACTTTATGTTAGTCTAGGATCTTACAAAATGTCGACCAACTTGTTTGTGCAGAAAATACGGAAAAATGGCTGTCAGATATTCCACGGATAAGCCAATCACAAGAGGAGAAAAACAGAAAGAAATTCTTTCTTAACAACAACAAAGAAATATTGATCTACTGATGCAGAGAGAAGCAGGTAAGCAAACTTTTCTGTAGTCCTGTAATAGATGTCGTCAGAAATCCGTTTAAATTTGGTAACAAAAAAAACGTTGTCTACGGATAATAAAACTTATAGAATATAGATAATCTATCATAACAAATCAATCAGAAATACTTCCACACTCCTTGGAATCTTTAGAAAATATCCAGAAACTGTTTAGCTTCATATTACATTAGGCGCTTTTTCTGTGGAATCAGAGAGGTTCAGAACATTTCACACCTATTCTGGCTGCAAACGCCGACCGAAGGGAAGCGTGAGTATTGTTTTGAATTATATTAAGAAATATTTTTAGACCTTTGGGGATCTTTCGAAAGTCTCGAGAAAACGTTTTAGATTTATATTAGATTACGAAGCTTACACATCAAATCAGAGAAAATTTCATAGCATATTATATTTTGGATACTCTCCTAGCGAATACCTAAAATCAGTCTAAAAAACACCGAAAGAAAATTTAGTAATGTTGACCAGTAAAATGGAGCTGTCTTGCTCTTTGGTACTAAGCAACTCGAGCAATTTAATGAATCGAGTGGAGAGTGAAAAGAAAAAGTCCTAAATAGTGGTTTGCTGATTTCGTTCTTCCACCTGCCTTACAGAACGATGGTACAGGCTGTCTTTGAGGATAATCTTTTCTGAAGTTTATCTGGAAGCCTTGATTTTTGAATATATTAATTTTAAATATGAAGTTTAAATTAACATCCTTTGAAAGTTCCGCATAGATCGTCCCCAAATCGACTTTCGACCTAAGGGAGGCTTAATGATAGATTAGTCTGCTAGACTTAGGCACGCGAAGGATAAGTTCAATGAAATAAGCTTGTAGTAGTATTATTTCTAAATCCCACTAATGTCATCTTGTAAACTATAGTCGAAATCCGCTAAGGCTATTTCTGATTAAAAACCTGAATGTCCAAGTTTTTTAATTTTCAAGAAACCCTTAGTTTTAAGATGTGTTTTAGACATTCGTTCATTTCTCGATAGGTGTCAAAATCTACTTGAAAAGAGGAGTCAAATGAGTTACTGTTTTATACTTTTCTAAAATGTCGTAATACCATCTGATGTTGCTCTTAAACAAAAGTAGAGAAAGGCGTTCAAATATATATTCTGACTATAGGCATCAAACCATCATTGATTAAGCTTTTCAGGGTACCTATTGATGATATATAGTTTGTTAAACATCAAACGTGTTTCATTGAAAAAGATGATTTCAAACAGAGACCATCGCAGAACAGGGCTGTCCTGTGGTCCTGCCGGGTAGGGCGCTATATATTCTTTGCCCTACCCTGCTCTGCCCTACAACAGGGCAGGGCAACAAAAAATTCCTTCATTTGCCGTGCTAGAAATTGATTTTTGAGATTTTCAAGCTTCTTTTCAAGTAAAATTTTGAGATCTCGCGTATATGTGAAAATAAAAATGACAGCCAACTTTTCTAAAATTGATAATTAATAAAAAACAAGATTCTGCTGCGCACGAGAAAGACATCCAGTATTTGTAATGGGTTTCTTGAAGATAAAGTCTTCTAGGTTAAGGAGAAAAACTTTTACACTGCAGAACGTCTTACCCAGCCAGACAAGGAAGAGCCAAAAAAGTTGCCCTGCGATGTTCTCTGATTTCAAAGTACTACGGTAATGATTTAACATGTAACTGGAAGGATATTTTTGTTTTGCGAACTGCAACTAGACCTCAATGGACTAGCTATTAGCACATGCTATAGAGCTTTTCAAGACACATTGAATAGTTTATTAACGATCAGAGATCTTCACGTTTATTTACAAAAGGGGTACACAGGTGTAGTGCTATATCAGCAACCTATACAAATAGTCATATCAGTATTCTAATATTTTCCAGCATTGTTTAATAGTCAATCTGTTGTACACAGCAAATCAAGGCGTATTCGTTTGTTTATAACAGCGGACTGAATATTGGATGGTTGGAGAGAAAAAGGTATTTTATGATTATAATCATGATATGATGTGTATGTCTCTTTTCGAGCAGATTTCATCGGCTATGTCCATTCACAAGCACTTAATTATCTGAAGATGGCTTTGATGATTTTTTAGATACATTGAAGTAATAAAACCAATAGACCGATTTTAAGTCTTATCTGGACTTATCTTTCGCAACAAACTTGAAGAAAACCGACGTATTTTTATCTACATGTGAAAAGCAACTATTTAATTACACAAACAAAATAAAATTGAATCACATATTTTACTCAAGTGCGTTTAATTTCTAAGAAAAAGTCAATGTTCACTATTTTTAATGATATCGTCATAGTATTCTTCCGTTATTTGAAATGTGGCATCGGATGATATTTTTGTCTCTCTAAAGAATAAATAAAAGCACCTACTCATATTTCCATGTAAATAGCAAAAACGTCTATGTGACGAACCTTCTGCCATCGAAAAATTGTATAGTTAACGAATTTCTATCAACGTGTATAATGGTAGCTGGTTTATACACCATTTCATCCAGTGCCAATATCTTGTCACGTTTTCGAAAGCTCCCTTGTCTGATAAATGCCCCAAATAGATGCGCCAACTCTAAAATTCGTGAAAGTAGAATTGTAAATATAGAATTATAAAAGTGCGCTAATGTGATACCTTGGACGGTTTTAGTATCATCACACCATCGAATACGATATTGATGACCGTTACCAACACGTTCTTCCACCGTTCCTAATAGACAAAAAGCCTGTATAAGATATAGAAATATCAAAGCATCGAAAACATGATTACCTAACATATAAGCCCCGACATCATCATTTCTTCCTACGACAACTTGATCTACGATTGATTTTTCTTTTTGTATAATGCATTCGACGTATTGTTTAAATTTTTCGTCTTCATTATTATTTTTTGTTATTATTGGAATAATTTCGCTGACTATTACATCAACTTCGGTACAATCATAGAATCTAACAGTAATTTTTTCTTCACCTTTATCCGTTATCTTAGTTGATGATATCAACACCCCAGGTGCCCGACTATTACGTAAATCTGGATAAAGCGCTATTACAAATGATTCACTCTAAAAATTAAGATTAGAAACGTGTATATCGTGTTTCTTTCTATGAGTATGTTATTTTTATACCTTTAGATCAGTGTCAAAGTCTTCCGGTAAATAAATATCGTCTTGATGTATCAAACTCTTTACATGTTTGTTCCGTTCAACAACATACTGATAGTCTGAATATTTTTCTATCACAGACCCCTAAAGACGTCATTCTAAGTTAAGAATGAAATTTAAAGACCAAGAAGTAAACCTTTCTTACCCAATAAAATAATCCGTCATCATCCTCCCATCTACATAGTACCTCAGTACCTGGTGCTATACTAGACCGCAGTGATGCAGCGGGCGTAGGACCTGATATGGGCAAACGAGACGTTGTTTGAGCGGAGTGATCTCGATGAGTGATCTCCTGTTTCACAGGAGTATCAGAACGAGATATTGGTGGCGTTGGTATCAGACGTGTTTGAGAAAATTCATTTTTCCTTTCTTTCACTCTCCCGGATGAAAGAGTTTTATCGTAAGTCATAATATCTATTTGTTCGTCTATTTTCTACAATAAAATTTTGATTCAGCAAGTTCAAAAGTATGCTATTCATAATTTCCTGGATTTTCCAGTTTTAATATCTGTATTACTTCTTTTAGGTTTTTATAGTGTTTCTTTTGATATTTTCTCATTTGTTCAAGATTGTTTTGTAACGCACTGATTTTTTCATCAATTTTTGCTAAAATATCAAAAAAACAACTTTCAAATAAAACTATACATTGAACATGAAATATTAGAAATTTTATTATACTTGAACGAATTTCGAATTCTGATTCACTATTGTCAGGAGAGTCTATTGGAGGTCTACAAAAGTACTCCAGTTTTATTTAATTTTAGAAAAACTAATGTTTCTGCTTACGGTATTACTCTTTCAATATACAAACATATACGTTGATACAACCCTCTGCTAATTTTCATCAGATCTTTTCGTCGAACATTTGCCTATAATCATCACGAAAGAATACTTAAAAACTGGTATCTACTTTTATTATGATATTTATGCACTCACCACACATAATTCAGGTATATATAGGTGAACTGTATACAATTGTGGCACTGATAAACATGGAGGGGGCGTTATGTGAACAACTGCCGGTACCCATCGTTCGAAATTAGCTTTATCAAAGCGTGCAAGAACACAATCATTAATCTAAATACATTGGATCATCATATAATACTGCTGATAATTAGAAAAACTATCTTCATATCCTACGTATAATGAAAGTTGATTAACAGCTCCATTTGTTGGAAATATCAATTGTTTCTCAGCTTGTTGTTGTGGTCCCCTGTCAAGCAGAACAGTAGCCTGATCTTCTTTTGTTCTTAGTATCGTACCTCAAAAAATAAACAGAATAACGTACACTATTTGATTTTACTGAAAATATAAACCGACCAGGATAAAAAAAACCATCTACATCATAGCGTACGATAACACGTTGTCCTGGAGACATGAATGGATATGTTTGACGTCGAATTACCGTTTTTGATTTAACTTCTTCCACCTTTTTGGTTAATACCTGTCAAAATACATTATTAGTTCAACTTTCAAAAAATTTAATCGTTTTACAAACTTTATCACGTTTTTGATGTTTTCGTAAATCAGTCGATATTTGAAGAAATTTAACGGCTTTTTTGATTTCTCTATCTAATTTCAGTACAGATTTTATTTTCAATAATGATTTACTTTCGTCCAATGCGTTCTGTAACAAAATTTTATTGTCTTCGTCATAGCGTGGGGGATTTTCAATAAAACTAAACAATAAAAATTTTTTATGTCATCTAACTTACTGGAAGAAAGACACTTACTTTTGCTGCTCATCAGCAGTTAGTTTTCTCCAAGCATTGTCTCTGAGAACACTCCTTTCAAATAAATGAAAAGTAACAGAATTTGATGTTATTGTAAAATTTGTACTATCACTTTTTATCAGAATGGTCTTTTTTTCTCTACACTATAAGAAAAAAGTGTGCCCGTTGATGTGTAAATCAGGAGTGCGGTCACTCGAGAACAAAAAGTATGTTAAAATTCTAACTGAAGTACAGTGTGTTACAGGTTCTAAGTGTGTCGATATTGAAATAACGACAAAAATAGTGTGCGGTTTCTTTCTAGGTGTGTTAGTAACGAAACAAAATTCTGCTCTTTCTTTTCCAGTTATTCAAATTGTCACAGAAATAAAACAATGACATACATATCACTGGGACAAAAAAGATAAAGTTGGTTTTGAATAGCTGAAAAGTGATTTTTTTGTATTCAGCACATTCGATAACTCAGAAGAAGTTTAGGAAAAATTTTGAAAAGGAATATTATTTTCCCATGGAAATTTTTTTCGGCATTTTGGATTCGAAAATTTTTCTAAACTTTTGGAAGTACCCTTCACCAAAAATAGAAAAGCTTCTGGATTATTGACTGTGCTGCATACGAAAAAGCACTTTTCAGCAATTCAAAAATAACTTTATTTTTTTCGTTCCGGTGATGTGCTTTTTCTGTCTGCTTTCTTTCAAGTTCACAATTAACAAAACATAAAAAAACACAGTGCTGAATTGGATTTTATAGACGGATTTCAACAACATCACTTTCACTCTATCTTAAATCAATCTTTTATTTGTTTGTGTACTTTGACTTTGTATTTAGATAAGTTTTTTTATAAGAAAACACGCCAAATCTTTTTTGATAAATGACTTTTTGTGTTAATTTCAATTAAAATTTGCTTTTCTGATGATAGAAGAGAAAATCAAAACTCATGCTACATTTATTGTGTCCGTGTGTACAACTGTTAGCGGCGCACTTATCCCATCTGTTATAGGTAGACTCGAGGATAAATAATTATTCACCTTTTGTGTCATGAGCACACTTTTCTTTTTATAGTGTACATGTTTTTCTCAAGTGTGAAAACGTTAAATTATATCAATCATTGGTGGAAAAAGGAAAACAGAAATTACTTTTCTTCCTCATTTTGGCTTTTCTCGCCGAGACTATTCCAATATATTTGTGGAGCTAATCTACAAGATAGAAACAGTTTGTATAATAAATAATTTAACAAAAGTATGAAAAGTTTACTTTCTCTTTTGTTCTTCAGATAAATATTTCCATATAATTTTCGATGTGAAACTAAATAAATCATTGTCAAACATGAAATATAGTCAATAAATAAGATTGATCGTCATCGTGATCACACAAAGTGAGAACTGACTCTACCTCTCATAATTGAAAAATAGACATGAAAGTATAACTTACTCCAAATAAAGTTTTAGTAAAGTGTTCAAATCTTTTTCATACGTAATCAAATCCACGGCCAAATGATTAATTAGACGTAATTTACCAACATAGGATCCATGTGCTAGAGGAAGAATCTGAAATAGACAAGTTTTTTACAAAAAATATTTTAATCTTATCAATAGTCATACAGATATTTTACTTACATCATCCCACACTTTTGACAGAACATAACGATCGATCGATTGCACATATTCAGATTTGACGGTAACACTCGATGGTTGTAAAATATCAAAAATTGTTAGATGTTTAGCAACAAGATTATTTTTCTTCAAAAATAATTTTACTTCAGCATCCGGTGTGCTTTAAGAAGAAAAAAAAGAGAGAAATAGATTCATTAATATAGTAGATATAATAAAATAATACAAATACAAACCGCGGTCGATTTTGAATCTCCTGCTCATATAATGGTACTAAACAATATAGACTAAATTTGTATCTATATATCGTAAAACTAAACATATACATACAATTATTTTCGCCCGTCGATAATGCTTCATTATCAGTGGTTTCTAAATAATAGAAAATTGATTCCTAACGTTACTTGTGAATGAATTTATATCAGTTTTACCTATTCTACTATTCTCATTATTTCCTGATAAAAATTCATTTGGTCGCTGATCTGGATTGAGATTAATTGTGCTAGCTTGATTTGATAAACTACCTAATTAAGAGAAGACAATACACACTAATATTCATCTTTAACTCAAATAGAAGATTTATGCAATTTTGTGCGTGTGTACAAAGAATGACTGATTGGCTCACAGTTAAACATCTGTAATTTCCACGTAAAATCATTTCATTCATCAAAAAATCAAAGAAAAAAAACTTGTCTATTAACATAGGATCATCTCAAAAGTCGGGTAAGTGCTCTATTATTCTTCTTATCGATTTTTCTACTGCAATCACACTCACTCTCACTCTTTCGCACAAACTTTTGTAAAACTACTTTTCTAATGCATTTCTACAAAGGAAAGTATCAATCACTTAAACGTCAGTGTCCAGAGAATGTTTCATGAGATTTTTGTCAACTTGATATGACCTATAAAAGTTCAGGTCAGACTAGAATGACAGAAAATGCGGGTCTGTAGTAATGAAAGAGAGCAATAATGAGAGTAACTGAAAAATCCATCCAATCTAGATTGAGCTCCATAACGGTAGCATCTGAGAGTTGCAGGCAAAGAAAAGACGTTTCGTCTCCACACAATAGATAAATTTTCAAAAAAACAACAACATAGGCATATCTGGTTTCATCTACAAAAAAAAGTTCAATACCAGAACATGTTTATTTCAAAACGTGTTTATGGTAAGAATTGTCTTCACTCCAGAAAGATAGTCCTCATTTATTCATAGCTAAAGTTACTATGCGAGAGAGGATAACACATATGAATACAGTTAGCAGCTTTTAGTCTGATACTTTGTCGGATGCTCATTCTATGATTTTTGAAGGTTTTATACTTAAATAAAAATTATTTAGAGATACTAACTTGATTTTACACGACGCTTTCGATTGTTTTTTGAACGTTGTTTCGACTGTTTGATGGGCATAGAGGCTAAAACAGTTCAAGTTAGCCTATGAAAATATTTCATCATCAAATTCTTTTCACATCTCGTATCGAATCTCTCTCTATATATTTTTATACTCTTTTAATTTGAAAAAAATTCGAAAATATGTTTTCTTTTTATCTTTAACAGAAAACATAAATTTTTTCAATCAGCACAATACAGAAACCACGAATGAAAAAGAAAAAAAAAATAGGTAAAATGAGTAGAGTACTAATTGCAGAATGATAATATATGTTGAATTTAGCATCATTAAAAATAGATAATATATTATTGACAATGTATTTTGAAATGGATGTCAAGTTTACATCGTGTACAACGCTATATTTCTTGATACTATCAGGTGTTTACGTTAGTTAACAATAATTCAAAGAAAACTGTTAAATTGACAAGATATTAAAGGTTAGTGTATGAAAAGAAGATTTGTTTTAGCCGCCCCTCCCCTCCTCTCAGAAATTTATTTATCTTCAACACTGTACATCCGATTTTGATGAAATTTTCCGTAAATGTTAGGTTTAATGAGTTACAGGAATAAAAGAATTTTTTGTCTCCAAGTCCTACGGTTTAGGAGTTTACTAGAGATCAAGGTCCAAAAAGAACCTTGAAGTTTTTCCCAACATTTTTTAATATACTTCAAGCTGGAGAGTTCGGATTTGTTTTATTTTAAACTAGACACTCAACTACATGGACTGACCGGGAGCGATTTTTCAACTAAGTCTTTATTGGTTTTCCAGGCAACTAACAACCTCCAAAACTTGAAAAATCTTTCCCGGTTTTCTAAAAATCCTCAGTTTGACAAAAAACTAAGACCTAACTCAAACATCGACGCCGGCCAGTTCATGTAATTTCTTTTCCTCTTTTAAACAAAAAAAGAATGAACTCTCCACGACAAACTGCTATAAAAAATCTTGGAAAACATTTCAGGTATAACTTCCATGTAGAGAAACGCTGTATAAAATGCTCAGTTTTAGGAGTTGTAGGAAAATACTTGTAACTTTTTGATGCAGGGCCACACAAAGTTGTGCGAGGTCTTATTTTGATTAGACTACAAATCTGTGCATTCAGAAAAAGATTTAATTGCGTAAGTACCCAGGAAAAAGCTATTATTTGGAAACCAGGTTTTCGGGACTCGTATAAAACTTTCTCGAAAGCCGCGAAAAATCACTTATATAGCCGACAGCGATACAGATTCTGAAAGTAGACATTTCGGGCCATTTTCCCATGTGCTTATCTGAAAACCGACTTTTTGACACTATTTCTGAAGGGGAACTTAAATCAAGTTATCATGTAGACTAACTGCATGCTTGAACATATGTGAGTAGTTCTGATACGAAGTAAAAACGTATTAATATATTTAAAAAATATGAAAGGAACCTTCAGATTCAATTCGAACCTATTATCCAATGTATTTTTTAATGTGAAATCAATTCAAAATCTACATACTATTTGGTCGATAAGTTGCTGTGATGGTATTCTGATTTTTGAGTTGTAACAACGGGATTGCTGGTGTATTATCACGATTTCTAAAATATTCATTTATTTAAATAAGCTCTTGTTATTATTATCGAACGAGAATGTCCTACTTATATTTTGATGATTTATGGATATTTTCTTTTGACCATGTTCGTCCAATACATTCATCACGAAGTTCAGACACACGTTTTAATTCAATTTCACCTCTTATCAATTCTTGTTTTAATAAACTAATATCTTCACTCTAAAAAGAAATAGTCAATATGTTCAATAATTAATAATAAAATATTATTTTTACACTATATAAACCTCTGGAAGTTCAATGGAATGATTTATAAAACCATAATTAAATGCATGAAATCGACCACCAGTTTGTTTAGATAAATTGTATAAAAATTGATTAGCATCAAGATCTTGACAATTAAATGCGATTGTATGAACAGGTATAGAATGACGATATTGAACTTGAGATAAAATATGTCGTTCACTCTAATCAATAGTATAAAAACATTTAGACAATTAAATAATAAATATTGTATTTCAAAAAACAACAACTATACTTGATCAGGCCGACCATCAGTTAAAAGATAAATAGCTTCTGTTTGTGTATCAGCTAAAGCAAAACGTAATGCAGCTAGTGTGTTTGTTGAACCTTCGGCATTTAAACTTTGAATCCATGGTAATATCTGACTATATGTCGTTGAATCACTTATTTTTGTTAAACGATCTCTCCATGGATTAATGACTGTATTAAATGCAATAATGTTAACACGTTCTTTCGTATATAGTTGATCCTAAAAATTATAATTTTATTTTTAAAATAATAGACATTCAATATATAATATGTATTAAAGTTTTTTCCTACTTGTAATAATAATAAAATTTTATCTTTAACAAAACTAAGATGATTTTGCATAGATTTTGATGTATCAATAAGAATATAAATATTTTGTTCTAATACAGTGCCAAATACATCGCGACTACCTTTTTTCAACCATTGAAGTCTGAATAGACAAAACAAATTAATATTTAAATTAATATTTAAAAATAAATTATTTTATACCGAAATTTGACTTTTTCAAGAAGATTATGAACTCGACGTTCATAATCACGATGAAGTTCGGGTGTTACATGAACATGTCGAATGGTACCTACAATAAAAAGAAAAAAATAAATTAAATGTTACAATAAAATAAAAAGATAATATTTTGATTTACCATCTGGCCATGCAACATGTGCAAATTGTGCACAATATTTTGCATTAATTAATTTATCTTTGGGATCCTAAAATTATATGTTAGAAGTTCGATACTTTATCTATTCATATTGATTTATTATTATCAATTGACTTACAGCTGGTACGCTGGCATCTTCTTTATCATCTGGTGGTCTTAAAACTGTGACAACACCATCACAATGACGAAATGCTGCTGAATGTAAAACGGAAAAAACATCTAATTTTTGTGCATCTAATCCATAACGTTTTAACCAATCTAATGAAGCCATATCACTATCTATATCATTCAATGATGATTGTAATACTAGAGTACGTTGAAAATCGTCGGTAATGAAACTAGAAGATTCTAAAAATCAAAAAAAAAAAAAAAAATGTTTTTCTTTCTTTTTTAAAATAATAAACAAGAAGAGTAATCATATTTTCACATACTGTCGAAATTATTTGTACTTTTACTATTTGTATTGTCATTTTGAATAAATCCTAGAATTTTTTCTATTTTATCAATTGTATTTTGACATTCAATTATTTCCTTGTATAATAATGAGATATCTATTGGATAATCATCTACACTACCAAATAATAATTTATCATTTTGAACTTTAATTCGAGTTGGATCAGATAAATTTGATGGTGCTTTCAAATCTGGTAATTCTGATTTAATTTTATACATAAAAAATCTAAATAAAAATAAAATATAAAAGATATTTTATAGAAATAATTTCTCATTTTTGTAATACATACGTTCCACCACCAAATTGTGCCAAAGATTTTAGATATGTTTCTGTATCAGAATTATTACAAAATAAACTAATAATATGCAATGGAATGTTAATTTTTGTTGAACGTAATTTTGTCAATTGATCACGTAACATTTCTCGATTTGTATTAGATGAATCACCTTCAGTTATCAAATAGATACTATGAACCTAAAGTAAAATTGTTATTTAATCACGAAATGTATTTATAAAATAATATTTACATCATATTTCATTGCTGTAATAATCGCTTCACACGTTGAACTAACAGATATTTTACTTTTTGGACAAATTTTTTGACAAATCCAATCGATTGCACTATCAATCGTTGTGGGAGTAACATCAATTGGTCCTTGTGATTGAAATTGTTCTATATCATGTGTAATCCTATATAAAGAAAAAGCTAATTAGTTATTTTACTATACTATTTTAATGTTTTCAAAAGAAATTTTTTACCATATGATATTAAATTGTTTAAGTTTTATTATTTGTTCTTTAAGTAAATTTGTAATAGCATTTTGATATTGATTAAATATTCGATAATCACCCGATTTACAATCACATATTAAACAGACGGATGGTTCACCAATAATACCAAACAATCTTCTTGAACCTGATGTAATAAATGTTAATCGTTTTCGTAATAGATTTAATGCTTTTAATAAACGATATCTATATTCTTGTAATTTTTCTGGTCTACATGTTAACTAAAATAAAATAAATATTGAAAAAAATAGTTAAAGAAAAAATATTATAATCGTACACTATAACGATCACCATTATCTCGTTGAACTTCATAATATAAATTGCCAGCATATTTCGTTGTGATATTTTTACCAAGTATCGAATTATAACCTTAAAAATTTATATTAGTTGAAAACATACTATTGAACAGAAATAATAATAATACAAAAAATTACAAACTTTCTACTCTTTTGAAACCGATTAATTGTAATATTTGATCGAATGAAAGTTTTTGTGATTTAAGGCCGTAACGTTGAAGCCATTCGTCTGTTCTCAACTAAAATTAAACAAAAAAATTAATGAGAATAACATAAAGTATTCCTCTTCTCTACGATTACGACCTTTTTATATATGAAGTTCATACTAAGATAAACTCATACTCTCAAAATTTATACTATTTTTGATTGTAACGAGTTTATGACGAATTTTTAGCCTTGAAAAGTTGATTTTTCAAAGAGTACTCTGTACCACAGACATATATTTTGAAAAAAGTATTTTATAGAGAGATACCGTACTAGAGAGTGAATATTTCCGATTAAAATGACACGTCTTTTAGCTCTAACGACGTTAAAATCAATAGTTATATTACTTCTATAAGAGCGTCAAAATATGTATCGTACATTTGCGCCACCATATTTAAAAAGCAACTTTTTTGGTTCTTTTCAATTTTCTGCGGAACGTTTTCTCCATAACACTTCATGTTAGAGCCATAAATTCTCTTTTTGTTTGTTTGTCAGTTGTCTCAGTCTTAAAAGAGCTCGGTTTGATAAAAACTACCTTCCAGTGTATAGAGCAGAATCTTTAAAGAGTTTCAAACTGTTTTCGGAAGATTTCAACTCAACATTTTTTTCGAAATGGCTATTGACAGACCTAGATCTAGTGGCAACGAGTATTGGCCAATTACCAAGTTAATTCAAATTTCAACTTGGCTAAACTAAAAGCTTGTAGAGATTTGGGGTGTCCATTGTTTTAAGTGGCATTTATTTTTATCCTCAATTTTGGGACTATTTTCTATGTTATTCAATTATTATTGAAAATATCACGTGAACAGGATGAAACAAACTTTTGTTATTGTTTAGTAGAGCAATAGCAGATGGGTAAAACAAGAACTGAGAGTAAATATCATAAACCGGTACAGTTGACATCACGAGACACATCACGTGACATCAAATCAAGTCATCAATGAAGCCAAGTTTTTATGAAAAACATTTGAAATTAAGCCATTTTTGACTTGACTTAAGTCATTTCTAACTCGACTTGCTCAGCTCTGATATTAAGAGATCTGAGCCTGTTTGTCAAGCAAAATTAAGTATTCCACATAAGTGGATTTTTAGGGAAAAAATTAAGTAGTACTTGAGGGACACTTAAGTTTCCCCTTAAGTACGCTTCTCAAAAAAGCTTAAGTTAAACAGGGATCATGCAGTAAAAACCACTCATATTTTAACAAATTTAGATTATTTTGATGAAATTTTCTGAATAAAACTTCGAAAATTATTTTCTATCTAATTATTGCGGGTCTGACTATGAAAAGACGTAAAATAAAGAAGTTACAAACTATAAATAGTGTTTTATTTAAAAAATTAAGTGAAAATTTAAGGGTGGTCAAGAGATCTATTAAGTTAAGATGCTTGCGAGAAACTGACTTAGTAAAAAAATCTTACTTAAAACAAATTTTTCATTTAACCTCTTGAATGCCGTTATTTTTCCTCTTCCGTATCCAAAGGTATCCATATGTAAAAAAATGATTAAATATCTCTCTTTGCGTTCTGTTGTTTTCGTCACATGTGTTCCTCTGGCACTTTTTTTTCGTTACAATGATAGAACAAAAAAGCATATGCAACATATAAAATTTCCTTCATGTCATCTATAGATGCCTTACGGCATTCAAGAGGTTAAGCAAAAGTGAGCGTGTTTTGAGAAACAGGCTCTGGTCCCTAGCTCCTTGCTGCCAGGCCAGGTTGGGTCTATCAATAGACTTAACCAATTTTTTAAAAACTCTAAAGTTTTGAAAAACTAGCTCTGGCTGAAACTAAATATACATGTGGATTCCTACCGTGTTAAATTCTTGAGTCTTCGAGAAAACAGTTGTCAAAAATGCAGAAAGGATTAAAGATCTGAAGACGAAATTTTTATCATTCTCACTTCATCATGACTAATATTTTCATCGTTTGTAATTGTTAGCTTATTACCAAAGTTTGAGAAACTTTTTAAAAACAGCTTTGTTTGCAACATACTTTTTTCCCCGAATTTTTAGGTAAAAGTGTTTCCAGTGCTCGGCAATGTGTCAGGCTGATAACCAACGAAGTATATGAAACTAATATGCTGACTTTGAAAATTTATAAGCCTTGAACTTTGAAAAAACTTAATTTTTTGCATTTGATGATATAAATTCAATGATGTTTTACCTGACTGGAAATAAATGGTGGTTCAGCTATCTCTGTTGAATCATTCTCAATCACTAAATCAAAATTACGGGATGTTCCTGGAACAGTTGAATATGGTACATTATATTGCATAGGTGATGCTGAAACAACATCAGCAAATGCCATAAATAGAGCTAAAACAAAAAGAATGAAGTTTAACTATCTATCTGTTATCATGCAAGAAATAAAACAGAAAAATTAAATCTCACGCTTCAGTACTTTATGAGCAGCTCTATATTTTCAACCGAAAATGGTACATATGGCACAAAATAAACTCGACGGAAACACTTTTCTATAGAGGAATTATGAACTTTCCACAAATCGCTTCTAAATACAAAATTCTTTAAAGTTTTATTGAATTTCTTTGAGCTTCTGACATACTGAATTATTAATAATATACTTGTGTTGTTAATTAATTACAAGATTATTAAATAGAAGAAAAATCTGAACTTCAACGGATAGCCATTACTTGGGGAATGTCCATAGCAACACGAGCAAGGAATAGTTTTTGACCAAATCATTTTAGTCAGAATGTTTGAGTGTGGTTCAACATTTACATGATGATCTGTTTGATTTTACAGGGTATTTCGTTTGAAAACAATAGTATTGTGAATGGTCCATTCTCCACCAATGAAACGTAACAAACATGTTCACGCATTAACCAGTGGTTTATAGCCGATAATATATATTATATATATGCTCGGCATATGCTTTCAGAGCCTTCGCCTTACGTTGTTTCCTTTTAGCTCCAAAAAGTGGCTTCAATGAGAGACTATCAAAGTCGATTCGCATTGATCCTGGCTTCTTGGAACTACTATTTAGAGCTAAAAGGAAACAACGTTCGTCTTAATCGACTATGTTACCAGTGCTTCTAGTGAGATATGTAATCAAAGTGAACTGGACCACTTTACTCTGCATCCCAAAGTGGTATCTTCTACGACGCTGTAAAACTCAAAGTTCAACACAAGTTTTCCGCAAGCAGCATGTGTAAAACTGTTGTCAGATTGTGCTCTAAAACTTGAATCTATCTCACCTTTATTAGCCTGAGTTAAATCTCTTCTGGGCTGGTTCTTGTCGTACGAACAAAGGAAAAGCCATGCGTTGTCTTTTTCTTAAAAATAAATGTAACAGGCATCTAATCAGTAACACGTAAAGTAAAATATAAACAATATATTTATTGTGCCGATCCGTTCATCACGGCAATTCCAGAGAGCAGAGTGGTTTTCTCCATTTTCAGAATCAAAACAGGGTGGAAAGGGGTTTTTGCAGATTGGAAGATCATTAATCATTAAAATCATTGTTTGTCACACTCCAGATCCTTGTTTCTCAAGGCGGCGTGCTTGGTCCTCTTTTATTTCTTATTTTTATTAATGATCTACCTCTGTCGCTCCCACCTAATTGTGAAATCTGTCTCTTTGCTGATGATGTTTTTTTGATTGTTTCTCTTTCCCCTACTGATTCTTCTAATTTTTCTCATATTCAAAACTGTATAAACTCTGTTTCTCATTGGTCTTCTTCCAATCTCATGTCTCTAAACGTTTCTAAATATTATTGGCTTCCTTTTTCGTTCCACCTCTTTCCCTATGTTTATAATCAATTGTATCTCAATCGTGTTCCTCTCTCTGTTGTGTCTTCTGTTCGTTGTCTTGGTGTTCTTGTTTCGCACGATCTTAGGCGGAATGATCATGCCAAGGACATTGCTCTTGCTTGTCGGCGCAAGCCTGGAGCATCGAATCGTGTCTTTGGATTAGCTCCAACTGAAGTTCGGCGTTGAATCTATCTTTCTTCTATTCTTCCTAAAATCGACTATTGCTGTGCCTTGTATGATAGTTCGTTTTCTCTTACTGTTCTTGATGCTGTAAACAAACTTGCTTCTCGTATTATTTCTCGCAATTTTGATTATCGTTCTTCTAGTTCCTTACTTGTATCTCAACTTTCTCTTCCTAAACTCTCTCTTCGTCGTAAATACTTTATACTTCTACAGTTTTTCAAAATTTATCATCGTCTAAGTCCTGTTTCTCTTTTCTATACTATTCATCGTCCTCACTACTTATCTTTACGTCTTCATCACTCTAAATATGTTCGCATTCCATCTTCTGTTGATGGTTTTTCTCCGCAAACGGTGCATGCTTCTTTTTTTTTATTCAACTATTGTTGATTGGAATAATCTCCCAGAGTCAGTTATTTATCTTTCTTCTTTAACGTCTTTCAAAACAGCTTTATGTCAGTATCTCTTCCAGTGAAACATGTCAGTTATGAATTTATATTTGTTCTTTTTTTCTTACTTTCTTTTAAAAAAAAACTTTACCTTCTTTTTTTTTCCTTTTTACTGCCTCTGGTCCTAACGTTAGTTGTCTTGTTTATTCTGTTCTTTTTTTACTCTTTTGATGTTCCTTGGCTTGAGTCATTTTTATTACAGGTCGGTGACCTTTGATGACTCACACTTTTCAATTCAAAACAGTCTTAGTCTTATAGTAGCAGCAGCTGTATGACGGCTATTCTTATAATGTGATCTGCAATTCACCATATAACAAAACTTTATACGGAATGGACTAAGCTCGTCCTCAATCAGAAATGTTTGAATCGGTCTGGACTAGCTTTTTTTGAGTCATACGGAGTTCTGTTGCCTAATACATAAAGCATGAAGTAAAAAGTGGCTCATAAAACCACTGAATAGTTTTTGACTGTTGCATATGTATGCCTATTGATTTCATGACACCTGTTTTAGATAGAATTAAAATGCTTTCGATAATATCTCGTCGATGTTTAAATATTACTTTACGCTATAGCCCAATTCTTTATCGAGTATCAACGAAACAAGCGCATACATTATCAAAGAAATTCGTTACAAATGCAATATACAATTCAAAATTTCAAATGGTATGCTGCTAAATTAGAAAAAAGACATGTCTGTTTCACTTCTGTTCTTTTTTTATTCTTGTTTTAGTTCTCTCACAACCAAAAACGAAATCTTACACTCGACGAATGGGCAGAAATAGGAAAAAAATACGAGACGCCTGATTCATTAACACCGCAAAAACTCACAGAAAGAGTTATGCGTGTAGTTAATGATTTTGATAAAATTAAAGAAGCATCGAAAACGGAGGTAAACAAAATCAAGTTTTTATTGCATGAATAGTTTCATTTTTTCAAAGAAGATCTTTGATATTGAAAAAACTACGACTGAAAAATACTTTTTTTTAATGATTTAGGTGACTGAAACAACTCATTTTATGAATGATCTTGGACTCGACAGTTTAGACCATGTTGAAATTATTGTTGCACTTGAAGATGAGTTTGGATTTGGTATGTGTATGTATATGAGTGTGGGTAATTTGCTGTAATAAAAGTTCAATTTTCTTTGTTTTCGTTTTTCAGAGATTCCAGATGTGGATTATGATAAATTGTATACACCACGAGCTATTGTTGAATATATGATTCAAAAATTACACGTTAACACATCACCACCACCATTACCTTCATCGGACAGTGATCCTCGTCACAATATTCCACATTAGAACATTATAAAAAATTTTGCGGTTTTTTGTATTAACATTTTATACTTGTTAACGATAGAGAAAAGGAGCGATTGTTGTTGGATTCAGGAAAAGTAGATCAGTTTATCAGAAGTTTTCTGTTTGTAATTACACTTTCAAAATAAACTTTTATCTTTTTCTTGTATATTATGATAGTTTAGCGTTAAATACCCGAAATATAGGTTGATATACATTCCTATCATAGGCGCTGGACTGTCTTGAAACATCGTGAGACTCAAAGTTCGTGAGTCTACTATTCCTTCGAAATTTTACGATAATTTTCTATACAGAAAAAAAGGTGGTCAACTTTCATACGCAGTTTTTATCGGTATCGAAAAGAAAATGTTTCTTTTTGTAAAACTTCTTGAAGCGAAAGATCCTGTTTTACCTGTGCCATTAACTCATCTCCTTCACAGACGTATCGTCTGGATCGAACATCTTGTTTAGAGACTTGTTACTGATTGTTACCTATAGATACGAAAATTACTACGCTAAAAATGCGGATTAAACTCGTCGCAACAGAGAGTAAAATTATTATTATTTATAATTATTAAGTATTAAATTGCTACTAAATTTACTCATGGACAAATTCTATTTAAATAATGGGACTAAGTTGTAATAATATTTTCAAAATTGAAAAAATTATTCATTTTAGAAGATATAAATAATGATGTTGTATTATCATTTACAGCACAACTAACACAGTATAAATCTCATTTTTTAGTAGAAAAAAAAGGCATAAAGAACTATTATGTAATGATATAATCAAGTATCTCAAACATATAATAAAATTTATTGCAGAGATTTAATTAAACTAGTCTCTACTATAGCTTCAGTAAACATTCCCCCAACGTTGATTATACCCCTGAAAAATGACAGGTAATTACAGGTTCTTTTTGCAGCGATCGAATAGTATAGATTCATGTTGACACGGTGGATTTATTTTTGAAAAAGTAAGAGAAATGAAAATAAAAGGTAGAAACAGTTGAGGAGACAAATTAATAAACTTTTGAATAATCGTTGTCTTTCTCTTTGTAATTGTTGTAAAACATTTTTTGGATTTGGTTTAGCTGGTAGAGAAAACTTATAAAAAATTGAAATTAAAGAATGATAAATGATACTGTGCCGTTCTCGTCTTTAGTGATCGATTGTTAAAATATTATGATTTAGAAATACGTAATTTAGCAAAAATGAATATTTTAGTTTTTCGAGGAAAAAGTTTCGTACAGTCAGTATATGGACACAGAATTTCTTGTTCTGATCGTCTATAACATTTAGAATGAGATTTGACAGGTAGATAATTTGAACATTTTTCCTATCCACTGATAAATAAAATACATGACAATCTATTCTAATTAGTTTCTTGCTATCAACAGTTTACTGTTGATCCGTTTTATTCCAACTGATTCTAGATTTTGCTTTCTATAATAAAATACCCAGAAAAAAAAAAGAGCACGTGAAATATGGAGTGAGAATAGAAGAATAACAACAGCAATCATTCTCAGTATAGAGAAGAAGAGCAAACGCATACATATGGACTACGTTATTCTTACTATTCGACTCTTACGCACAAAATATATATATGACAGAAGAAGAATATAATTCTGATGTTATTTTGAAAAGAAAAAAAAAAGAAGAAGAAAGAAATCTATTATTAAACACGCGTTTCATTCTATCGTTTTTCTAGTATATATCAGCTGTTTCATAACCGATCAAATAGATAGAGAAAAACATGACGAGAACAACATACTGAGAATAATAATATTATTTTTATTTTTCTATATAGAATTCTATGATGTTAGAATGGGAACATTTTTGTTAACGTTTCCGTGCAATTTATTTTCGTTATTGTAATTATACTGATAGAAAAGGATAAGAAGAAATTGAAGAATCATCAAGAATAATTGTTATTTAAAAAAAATATGTAAATTATCTTCCTATTACTTTTAAAGGTGAGTGCTATTTTGATATTGACTATATCAATTAATGTATCCATAGTTTATATTAGCTAATATTTTTAGTCGTATATATATATAAATATATTTCTTTTATATATATAACTATAGGCAAACAATAATAGATTGTAATTTATTATTTGTTTTTTTGCTATGTCTCTGTTATGAATACATTAGCATGTAGTATCCATCCATTTGGGAAACGATAAATTTTGTTTTCTATTTTCAGTATAAAACTCAGATATCATGCATGTATTATTAGTAGATCATGCAATCTATTTCATTGATGATGATATTTATGTCATAATACATGGAATTATTTTAAATTGATGTGAATGAATAGAAACAAATTCTTGCGAGGATTTTTAACATAATTACTCTTGTATTTATGATATTATTAATATGACTAAAGGCAACATTCATGTCATTCTTCTTTGGCAATTGCGTAGGTTATTTTGTTGATGAAAAAAAAAAAAAACTTTTTATGATTTTTAACAGTTTTATGTAGAATAATTTCATAGAGTGTCTATCGAAGTTTAATCTTTTTCCAAATTTTTTCAAGTAAGTAGATAACAGAAACTAATATCTAAAATACAGTTAAATATTTGTTCTTGTTTTTTTTCTCTCTCAACAAATTTCGTTTGTACAGTAATTAACTACATATCATACTAAAAACATGGAGTAAGACAAAGAATTTAGATACATCTCAATCTTTCTCAATTGTTTTCATAAGAAAAGCGTCTTTTTTTTTTCCTAGAATAATTTCTTCTACATCTGGTAAGACATTTATTCTAGATTATTAGAGTGAGTTTTTCAAGGTTATTTTCCACATTTTCTCTTTTAGAAAACATTCATAATATTGAGATGATGTAATAGTTAAACAAGTAGGAAAAAAAAATCTTCTTTTTTTCAAAAAAATTAGTAATAATGATGTCGATGTATTTTTGTTGTATTATCAAATATTGAAAGTTGATACGGTAAAGGTTAATAAACTCTGAAACTTTTTCAACTTATTTTTATGTTATTGATCAGCTTATCTCTGATGTATAAAAAAAGAAAAGAAAATATAGATATAAATTCTATTTATACTTTTAACAATCTGAATGTTTTAATCTTTTGTACAACAACCAACATTAGAGAGAGAAAAATAAAAAAAAAAAAAAATCGAAGAACTCGTGTCAATGAATTACACTCTTAATTTGTTTAGCTAAAGAAATTGTCACATTCAATTAGGCTTTCATCCGTATACTGATGTTCTTGGAAAAAATAGGAGTGAGAGTATTTTGACGATAAGAAAAGAAGAGAGAGAGAGAGAGAGAGAGAAAAAAAAATTAATACAATAACATGAAAAATCTTCTAATTAATAGAATGAAGAGAAATTTTAACACGTATTTGATATCGATGATAGAAAAAGTTCAATTTATTATTATTTTTATTTTTTGATAACTTTCTTTTTTTAAATGATAAATCAAACCCGTATTACATAGAAAAATGTTTTAGTTGTTTGTCTTTTTGCTGTTGCCTGTTTGACAGACACAACTGATTTCATGTTTTATATTGAAAAAAGTTCTGGTTTTGTACTCCCATAAATGTCATCTATTAGGATAAATAAATTTATTTTACAGATTAGTTGAAACTTAATAATAATGATGATAATAATAATAATCGTCAATAGAAATAAATAATGATATGTTTATTTTATATGTTCTAAACTTCTATATTCATTTAGTTATATTAGATGAGTGAATAAGTTTTTAATCGTATAAGGTCTTTTTATTTTTATTCAATTAGATAATCACTGAAAAATATTAATTGTCAATTCTCCGCTCACCAGATTTTTACTCCTAATCGTTCTCATTGTCTGAGAGTGAGATCGAAAAATAATATAGTAAGACGTAAAAGATACTGACATATTATTTAGATACGCAGTAAAAAAAATAAAACAAAAAAAAAACAAAACAACCGGCAGATGGATCATTTCAATTATTTATATATTATCAGTTATTCGTCTTTTTTTTTTTGAATGAAACAAAAATAAACGAGATTGTGCCTTCCGACTATATATCTGTTAAGAACAACTGTCAACAACAGTGTCTTTTTGACAAGATAGAAAATGCATTCTATTGACACATTTATTGCAAACTTTACATGTTGGTTAAACACACAATACTTTAATAAAGTGTCTAACGAGAGAATATCGCCAGCTGACCTCCTCCGATTTCGATGATCTTTTGCCGATAGATACTATATAGTGTCCTAGTGTTAACCTTAAAAAGATTTGATTGCATGGTTCTTCTTTCAAAAGTTATGAATTTTTTTAATTTCGTCTATACCATCAATTATTAGAAAATTCATATCTCAGTCAAAAAGGTGGTAGAGAGTTGAATGTTTTTTCCTGAGGCACAGTTAGTTGTCTAAAATATTCAGCACAGTACAACAATTTTTTCTGAATATTTTAGACAACCAACTGTGCTACAGGAAAATATTACCCTTTTTAACTGAGATATTAATTCTCTAATAATTGATGGTACGTACAGAGGAAATTAAAAAATTCATAACTTTTGAAAGAAGAGCCATGTAACCAAATCCTTTTAAGGTTAACACTAGGGCACTATATAGTATCTGTATCTGTCGGCAAAAGATCATTGAAATCGAAGGGAGGCAGCTCGTAAGTACGAAAAAAAAGCAGAGAGTATTGTCCGATAGATCGAAAATTATGATTATGGATGCAAAACACTCTTATCTCTAGCAATAGCAAGAAGTGAAATGATCATATATAAATTTTATAGGAAAACTAGTACCATTAACGCCATGCGATGTCTATTTACATCTACATTTATCTTTCAAAGCTCAAGAGAAACTAACAACTTTGTGATCACCTCAGACTTTCATTGAACATAACTTGTCCAAAAAATATGTTTCTTGAACATCAGAATTTTTTCTAAAAAAAAACAAAATCAATTGAGAGGTATAGCAACGGTAAAAATTTGTAATAAATTTGTTTTCAATCGAAAAAAATGTCTGTCAGATATGTCATTTGACTCAATTTTTCATACGGATTACGAGTCTGGTATTTATTTTGAATTGCTGAAAATTAAGTTGAAAAATATGCTGAGACTTTAACAGAAATTTTATTAGATTCTCAAGTGCTTTTTAAGGTTAAAATTCGAATATCTCACGTCTTGTAATTGTTAGAGATCGGTGCTTGTCATTCGTATTCATAATTGTTGAAATTTTATATTATCTGTTTGATTTTTCGATCCTTTTAGTTTTCTACAACGTGGTAAGTTTCACACGGATTTATAATCAATAGTTAAATTACAACAATATTAAATTTTTAAAAATTTTAAAGGATAAATACTCTTTCTAAATTGTTTTATTCAATAAAATCTGTGACATTTCAATGTCAAAGACGTGTTCATCAGACTACATTCAAATACTTTTTAAAATTTTTAATTTCAATCCTGTAGTTTTGTAGATAATAGTACAAGTCGTATAAATGCGTCAAAAATCAATACTTTATTTTTTATCATATTGATGTTTATAATATTTAATGTTATTTTCAATCTCAATGGTATAAGTAAAACAATTTTTCTGCTCTGATAAAAACGTTGTTTTGTTTTAAAAAAAAATATTATTATGAAATGGTTGGAGTGAATGAATCGAATATTTTGTCTATCAGAGCATAGATAATGATAGAAGTCCAAATTTATAGCTGAAAACGCTACCATCGAATGTACCAATGTCCCATTAGATCACACTTTATAAAATCGTTCTCCTTACATGAGAAAGGAACAAGATACCATATTTTTTAAGATTGATTTGATGACATTTATAGAAGTATAAACCGGAACTCTTTTCGCATAAAACATTAAATCAGTCGTGTCTGTCAAACAGGCAACAAAAAAAAAACAAATAACTAACATTTTCTATACATACGAGTTTGGAGATATCTATGGTTTTATAAGAGAGTATAAACGTCTAGTGCTGCTTTTTCTTCATCTTCTTTAAGTTCATAATCGTTAGAATAAGATCATGACTAATTTTAGCTTTTTAAATAAAGTGAGAAAGGATTTTTCTGTTCGTGACAATTATAATCTCTCTCATTTCTTCCAATTTTTTTTTTATGATTGTATACCACCATTTCTAGTATGTATGTAATGAAGTAACAACATCCGATAACAATAAAAACCGGAATACCTGCTACGATCATTGAGACAATAAGAGAAAGGATCTAGTCTTTATCAATTTTTTTTCTCTCATTTTTTTCTCGTTATTCTTCTGCATCTATTTTTTTTTCTTTTGTCTTCACGAGTATTTATCATGATGAATTAATAGTTTTTTCTTGGATACGTTATTTTTTTTTTTTTTTTTTGTTTGATAAGCGGAATAAGTATCATGCATACATAAACACACGCAATTTTAGTTTGCATTTTAAATAATTAAGTTTACTTCTATTAAACGTAAAATGTGTTTTAATTCACTATTATATCTTTACTCCATCGTTCAACAACGAAAGAACAGGTTTGTTTTATATCAATCAACACTCTATAATCTCTGTTTAAATCGATTTCATAACTTAGAATATCTCTAATGTTGATATTTAACTTATTTCAGACAAACTATGGGTACAAATAATTCAAAAGACTATGAATCTGAAGATGATTCTCAAACGAACAATGATTTAAATAGTCAAACATCGATATTTTTAAGAAAAAACCAATCAGTATCAAAATTAATTAAGAAAACAGATCATTATGGTTGGCAAGAAATTTATTATTGTAATCATACAGAATGGCTACAAGGAGTATATGGTAAGTATATGTAGTTTTCATCGATCTTAGAATCCGAAGTATATTTGAGAAATCTCCAGTGTTTTTAAAAAAAGAGAAAATTTTGAATATCATAGCGGATGTAAAAGAGAAGATAAATCATCTGTAAAAGTATAGATGCGTGATGTTCAACATAACAAAAAGGAAATGATAATTATATGGGCTTTTGAATTATATGATCCCTTTAAAAGGAAGGACATGGCCTTCTATTATGGTTTCGCACATCGAACATTTTTTTGTGCTAGAGGGCCATTTTACAAACATTTCGCTCCAGTCTAACCTCCTATACAAGATGATCTACTCATTTGAGGAGAGATTTAACATCTTTTATACAAAAACGGATTTTATCATGAACGATTTTTGTACGCATGAATATTTGATAATTAAGTCTACAAATAATTCTAATAATAGTAGCGATAAAAAGAAAAGAAAAATATGGTACAAACAAACCAGAGTCTACGTATTTGTTAACACTTTATATATTTAACAGAAAAATAGTAATAAAAAACTGACTTAGTATAAAATAATATACACTAATCTAGTTGTGTGTATTGTCTTTCATCCTTACTAGTCATTTCCTTTTGAATTCTAACACTTTGTGCAACTATACTTGGATAAATAAACTCTTTACACATTTCCAACGATGTGGTGTTTGTGATTTGCCATATATCATAAAAAAACACATTTATTTCTAGAAAGATCTAATCGGTCATATATTCTTCTTTTAGAACAATTTGGCTTTGTTCGTCATCGATTTTTATGTAATTCTGCATTACATAGTATTTGTGGCCTTGGTTTTTGCTCCGAAGGCATATCAAATAAGATTTATCGTCCTCATCATAAAACGGATGCTAAAAGATTACTATTTAAACCATTTCAACGTCAATTAAATCATTTTCATAATAATAATAATGTATCAAAATCTAAAAAATTGGCTGAACATTTTGAATATAATCACGTTCCAGCCATGATTAGTTCTCTGCAAAATTATTCTGTTCGTGCAATTATTAATGGAGATAATAACGTCATTATGCTACTTATTTATAGTATTGTGTTAGATAAAACAAAATTTATTATCGTTGATTTAAAACAAAATCGTTATTTATGTTCACTGGGTGATTACAATGGATTTCAAGATGCACATAAAATTTATTCAGCGTGGTCTAATGATCGAACAAAAGTCATTATACGTATTCCATTACAAGTGGGTGAACAACCGAATCAACAACGAACAATTTATGCACTGGATTTTTATCATGTTATTAAAAAAGATGGAAAATTACATAGACGGGTATTCTACATCGATTCAATGTCAAAATTTTCTTATCATCCTAATTATTGGACATCTCGACTGGCAATCTATGGTTATTATGGCAATTCAACATTAGGTAAGTGTGTGATAATTATGACCTTGTGAGAAGTAAAGCTCTTCGTGACTGAATTTTTTAGATTCTATCATAAAGCCTTAGTAGTGGCTTTTTAAAAAAAGTAACATTTTTGAGTTCAACATGGTGTATTATAGAGTGAAGTGTACGCTACAAAATAAGACGACTTTGAACTCTTCATTAAATAGATATGAACTTTTTAACATCTGTCACTTTATGCTGAAAAAACTCTACTCTTAAATTTCAAAGAACTATTTCCTTTCTATTCAATTGTTGTTCAAAATGTTTTCAGATAGTCTTGTAGAGCAGACAGTTCTCTACCAAATAAGGTATCTTCTAGCTCTCCATAATGTTTGTTTCAAAAGTTGTAATCATTTTGCCAAATGCTCTAAAAAAAGTGACTTTTGTGATACCACGTTCCTCGTTCCAATCTTGACTCTGACTAACCTAGTTATATCACTACAATTTTATCGAATCGAGATCAATATTTTACCACAGATATCTGAGACGATATCTTAGACCCTCAAATTGTATTTGTTTGTTACAAACGAAAGCTCTATTTTGCCACTTTATTATTTATATATTATTGTCATATTGTTATTTTAGGTGTATATAACTTCAACACATCACCCACATTGAGTAGTACTAATAATACAAATAATGTTCAAAATTGGTCATTCAAATTATCATCGTTGACAAATATTGATAATGATAGTGCACGAAATTATTTGAGTGTAATAGATACAAATTCATGGGGAATATTAGAAACGACCAAGGATAAGTTACCATTGAATGATGATAATCAACAACGTCAATTACAATCGATTATTTACACACCCGATGGTGTTTATTTATTGTTAAGTTTTTCTGATACCCAATGTCATTGTCAAACTCTGCAAACAATACCATTACGAACAACGTTTGAAATTTATAATAGTGAAACATTAGATTATTTAAAACAAATAAATACCAATATATATACGTGTCCACATCATCTTTGTCATAATTTATTAACACCCATATTTTCCCCATGTTCATCACAAATGGCATTGTGTACAACGAAACCAACATCATCAAATATCCATTCTCAACAATCATCACAAATTTCTTCACTAATTTCAGCACAGATTATTGTTCAAATTATTTTATTGCCAAATGAAATGAATTTAAAAGCAATTTGTCGACGAACACTTGTGCGTTATATAAATACCATCGCCACTAAAGAGAGAGATATGAATTCTATAACTGAACAATTGTGTCTCCCATATAGATTACTAAATTATGTACGATACAGACCACAATACCAGTAAATTACACTTATTTATCTAATCAAAAACAATTATTTCACTTCAAAGAGCATCTGAAACACTCATTCACATATAAAACATGGTGTATTTAGTGTTTCTAGTCAATTGAGAAATATAAGAATGCTCTTCACCAGTTGTTTTAATGAAGTATTTTTGAAACAATTAAACGAGAATTGAACCACTATTTTGCTATATTAAGCTTTCGCACGTGTTTTTGAAACTTCATTTTACTGTATCAATTCATCTGTTTAGTCACTATAGTATCCCACAAACATGTCTCCACTTCAGAAACTTTTTCGCTTTCGACTTTACTACGAGTTTTTGTTCCAAAGCGTTCAACTTCATATGTAAGCGTTTATTTCATCGTTTGCTGAATGATCACTAATTTGTGTGAACTCGATTTTTTGTCCTTATGTAAAGTGTACATTATTTCGCTACTGCTGGTCAGTACTTTTTTGTTAAGCTTATATATTTTGTCTCCATCCAGCTAGTATAACAAATAAACAAATTTTCACTGGCAACAAAATCATGGTTGAATTCTTGATATGTGAGCTATAAACCTTCTTACACCGTAGACAATGATTAGGTACTTTCAAGTGAAGTAATACATGTAACAACCTGAAATATTTGTCGCTTGTTCATAGAAAAAAATGAGAAGGAAGGTTGAGTTTTATCGCTCACTCGAATGAGAATCGATCACGTTTCTGAGTTTCACCTGGCTTCATGACAAATGCGGATAACACCTTGGGTGAGGATAAAGTCGATGGACACTGCATGAGTTTTTCTGCTGTTAGAGCGCGGATAAAAAACTGAAAGTATTTGAGAGCTTTTCCCAAATGGAAAAACATAAACTTTTAAATAAGAGGTCGGAATGAATCCATCCACTATTCTCTGACAAAATACTTTTCTACATCACTTGGACTATAACTGATATTCTCAGAGATATTCAGAAAGTAGTTCCTTCCGTCACTCAAGTGATGTACACTCGCTTCGAGAAATATGCCCTCGCTACTTATCATAGTACCACCGCACTGGACAAACTACATGTGATAGTACTCAACTTCAAATGGTATGGAACAAGCAATTTTGAACTAAAACTTCAAAGTTAGTTAGTTTCTGAAGTCGTCCGAAAAAAGGATCTGTTGACGGTGAACGTCATCTTGTAAAACGCTGTTTTATTATTGTAGAAAACAGCAAAATAACATCCTTAACAGTGACCAAGTTAATGGCGAGAGGATGACAATAACAGAGTAGAAGCTATCAGCTCACGAGACGTGTATGAAGCGTTAGGTGACCGTTAGCCATACCGTTTGCGTTGATCTGCACTCGTTTGACCGGAAAGCAAAAGTAACCACTAGCTCTGAAGATGAGATGATCGATCACTCAGACATTTGTCTAAAAGAAAAGCGAGCGAACGACCGTCATACGTTGACCGCACAATCCAAGAAACCAGAAGATGTACATACACATTGATCTGTTCTCGTTCGATTGAGTAAACGTAGAACACATGTCTAAGTGAAGCACGAGCATGAAAATGATCACCACATGCTCTGCTGTCGATGAAGAAAAAAACACTATTTTCATCTCTAGCATTATTACACTCACAAAGATCGTTGACCTAGTACACATTTTAACAACAGAAAAACTTTAGTTCTTTGTTTTCATTTTTCTCTCTCCACGAATAACTTCATTCGAGAAGCAAAAGAAAATGTCATCTTTTGTTTTTATGATCGAGGTCTATCGTCGCTCATGAAAAGTATAAATAGTTTGTACATACA